TGGTTCTGCCTACAAATAAACATAATCTTTGATCAAAGATGCAATAATTCAGTTATGTTTGCATACAATCAGGAATGATGATTTTTATTACTTCTTGTGTTACATAAAACTTTCAAGGTCCAAAGACTGAGTCACTTGAGACAATTTTATTGTAAAAATATAATTCAAATTCTACACATACATACACCTGTATATATGCAACACTTTTATATAATACGTCTGACCAATTTTCCCCAATATTTTACTATCCTGTTTCTGTGTTAACTCAAATGTGACGAATTTATATTTATTAGTATCCTACAATTTTTCAGATTTAAATTTGCTCTCTTCAATATACAGTCATGGGTTTTGTTTGTGTGCTCTTTAGCCTCTTCTGTCTACTCGAATGCAATTGACCTGTATCAAATTAACCATCAAATCAAAACACTCTGGGCCTACAGACAATGCACCTGTGCCAACGGAAGAAAAAAACATCAACATATTTCACAATTGACAATAACAAAACAGCTTGCTCTTTGAAATTGTCAACGTCATAATGAGTGTGGGTGGATGGATTCCATAGAAAATATAGATTCCACTACACCTCTTCACTGGGCAATGCCAATGGGCCATTTGTTTGTACACCTTCAATCTTTTATACATGTAATATCTTATATTTCTGGTACAAAAAAATGAGCGAGCTATTGTGTTGAGATTTATGATGATCCAGACCATATGACAGGAATTGCTATTTTGGGATAACACTTATTTTCACCTGAATAATACCAGTCCAAGGACTTGATTACGGAATTAAAAGGGGCAAAGCATCCTTGAACATTGACAATTTGAGGAAAATTGCAAGGGGGGGCAGAAGCTTTGAAACACTCGAGGTACATATAAATGAAGCCATGCATAAAGGGCACCAAGAGTGATTTTTCCCCTTCTTTGTAAAAGCACTACATGTTTTGTAGGGTGTCAGGCCAGCACCAGGATCCTATTGGAGGAGGGGGGAGGTGGAGGAGGGGGCCTAGGGGACTGAGGGGTGAAGCCCCTTCCCAATAAGAATTGACAGGATTACAAAATGGCAATTACATGTACTATTAGTACCAAAGGTCCCTGAACTAAGGCCAACTTTTATGCAATGGACACTTTCCTAGTACAAGCATTTAGATGAGGGTACCAAGACAAACTGAGCTTGAACTATGTCTTTCTCCCCCCCCCCCCCCCCCCCCCCCCCCCCCCCCCCCCCCCCCCCCAATCTCTCTCTCTCTCTCTCTCTCTCTATCTATCTCTCATATTCAAAATTATATATTTATATGTATATCATTATATTTTCATTATTATTATATCTTCTAAATATGGAACTACATGTATGCTCGACTAGAACTTGTGCTAACTTCTAGTTCCCCTTATTAAACTTCGTCCTTGTTTTCACGAAGTGACGGTAGTGAGGAAAATCGTAACGCAAAGTGAATGCAATTTTTTTTCACTACCGTCACTTTGTGAAGACAGCGACGATATTAGTACCGGTAATACACATGTTAAGGTGAATATCTTGTACTGTTCAACCAACATTACTCTTCCATTATGTTTTCATGCATCATTATTCTTTGCTTTGTATGATTTTTTTCATATGATGTGTTGTTAATAAATTTAAACACCGTCCAATGTGCAACCTCTTTTTTTTTCTCTTCTACTGCAAAAACAGACAAGTTGACTCCCTGACTTAAGCCACTAGGCTAACAGAAGACAGGAAGATGTGGCAAGCCATAGTGAAACAGAAGCCATCATACATCCCAGTGATGGTGTGGACGGCTTAAGTCAAGTAAGTCAATAAAATGTACACAAGTATTGTTGTTGTTGCTGCATATACAGGTGTATATGTATTATCTATCATCTTCTGAGTGTTGTTGCACATACATGTATCAAATATATCATCTGAGAGAGTACATGCTAGGAGGAGCTACAATGTACCTCCATGAGTAAATGACCTTCTGGCTTCAAACTAACAAATTATGTCACATGACTGGCCACCGCAGAGACAACTCCCCTTTTCTCTACTCACTCCCCTGGCAAAATATAAGGGATGTTTAAAAAAAAACATGGATAAATCCATCACAATATCAAAGATTATATTCATTCTATGTTTAACTGTTGAAACAGTTGGTGGAGAATGATTCACATTTTTAAAGACAACTCCCCTTTTCTCTACTGACTCCCCTGGGAGAATTTGAGGGAGGATTAACAAAAACAAATCCATCAAAATATATCAAAGATCATATTCATTTTATATTTAACTGTTGAAACGGTCGTCGTTGAAGGATGATTCACATTTCAGGATGTTTTTGGTAGGATAGACTTGTCAGAAGAGGTTCTATAAATGTATAAATAGTACCACTATTAATTGATAATAATTAGTGGAGCAAAGAAACATTTGAAAATGATTATCATTTGTATTCATATTAAATATGGCAATGTGTTTGAAATCCTAGACATAAATGTACATGTAAATAATTGAGAAAATATACAATAGCTACAGGATAAAAGGTAATTTAAAAATGATCAGTAATCAATGAAATCTGGTGGATTGCTATCCATACTTTAAATGTTTGGACTTGTGAGGTTAAGAATTTCTTTGAAATGTGAAGAGCTACATTTCTTAAGAAAAGATGAATAAAAAAGTTCTTGTTATCATTTTTTAGAGAGATTAAACACTTTTGTACCTTTAAATTCACTTCACCAAGCTTATGTACTACAACTGGTTCACTAGGGGGATACTCCCCCTTTGATCGTGGACTTTGCTCTCCTAAAACTGTTACATACAATCTAAAGATCAAAAGTTGTTCGTATAATTGTACTATTTACACAATCCAATACCATTGTTTTATCTCTTCAGTATTTGAACATGTGTTGATGCATGTGTTAATGCATGTATGTAAAGCTTAAAGTTAATACAAAGTTTTGGTATTGGGTCATGAATTTGGTTCAACTGAACACATTGGAAGCATATGCGATCCTACAATATTCAGTAATCGTCGTCGCGGTTGAAATCGAGTCCAAAGTTATGATATTTTAAATAATACATTCTTTCTGTTGTATAGCTCCCTCTCAAGGTCAAGATATTAAATAAGCTATAAAACAATGTTTCTTGACTAAAATTGACCCATTAGCTATTCCCGTTTGGAAATGATATATCACAACTACATATTCTGAGATTGTCATGGTCGCAGCTATACCATTGTACAGCCGTAGGCGCTATTTGAAATTTATCAAAATTTACCGGGAGCACCGGTAAGTTTTTATATTCAATTTTTCTCGAAAGCAGAAGTGTTTCTAAGGGCTAAATTTTCCAGTGCTTATAATGCATCCACAGGGCATCCAAATATATCAAAATTGTAAAGAATCACTATCCGCCCAATTTTCTAAATTTCCCAAAACTTTGTATTACCTTTAAAGGTAAAACAAAGTTTTGGGAAGTTTTGAAAATTGGCTGGATAGTGATTCTTTACAATTTTGATATATTTGGATGTTCATGTGGACGTATTATAAGCACTGGGACATTTAGCCCCTAAAACACTTCTGCTTTCGAGAAAAATGGAATATAAAAATTTACCGGTGCTCCCGGTAAATTCTGATGAATTCAAAATAGCGCTTACGGCCGTACAATGGTACATTGTAGCTACGACCATGAAAATCTCAGAATATGTAGTTGTTATATATAATTTCCAAACGGGAATAGCCAATCGGTCGGTTTATTTTGACCTTGAGAGGGAGCTATATGTATATAACATAAAGAGCTTATTATTTACAATTTCATAACTATAGACTCGAGTTCAACCGTGACAACGATCACTGCATATTGTAGGATCGCACATGCTTCCAATATGTTCATTTGAGCCAAATTCATGATCCCATACCAAAACTTTGTATTACCTTTAATGCTATAAATTTCTCTTCACTTGGTACTTTACTCCATAAGAATTTTCATTAACATTTGTATATTTCTCATTTATTTGCACAGGCCTACCAATACTCACATATACACAGCAAAAGCAACATCAACAACTGTATCTTCCAATATAATTTTCCTTCTTTTTCTGCCTGAGATTTGAACATCGAAATTAAATCTTGATACATGAATCCTGGAGTTTTAATTTCCTTAACTTATCAGGAATGTGGTCTAATTATAACCCATCTCTCTCATTTCCTGTTCAAAACCAGTTCTGTGAGTGCATCTTCGATACAGTACTGTATGGTACAGAAGGACGTTTACTTGTAACCTTTTACACAGAGTTAAGGCCTTTCTGGCTATCAACAGACGATGATCTGAAAGTAATATTCACACTCGATCCCAATCTTTATGTAAGTGCATTTCGCATACAAAATCGTATCTTTGGAACCATAAGGACGTTAGCTCGTCATGTTTTACACAGGGTTAAGACCTTTTTGGCTCTCAACAAATGATAATCTGAAAGTAATATTCACACTCAATCCCAGTTTTTATGTAAGTGCATTTCACATACAAAATCATATCTTTGGAACCATAAGGACGTTAGCTGGTCATGTTTTACACAGAGTTAAGACCTTTTTGGATATCAACAAATGATAATCTGAAAGTAATACTCACACTCAATCCCAGTTTTTATGTAAGTGCATTTTGCATACAAAATCATATCTTTGGAGCAGAGTTAAGACCTTTTTGGATCTCAACAGAGAATAATCTGAAAGTAATACTCACACTCAATCCCAGTTTTTATGTAAATGCATTTCGCATACAAAATGATCATAGGAGCCAAAAGGACGTTAGCTGGTAATGTTTTTACACAGAGTTAAGACCTTTTTGGCTCTGAACAGATGATAATCTAAAAGTAATATTCACACTTCATCCCAGTTTTTCTGTGAGTGCATTTCGCATACAAAACCGTATCTTTGGAGCGAAAAGGACGTTACCTGGTAATGTTTTACACAGAGTTTAGGCCCTTCTGGCTCTCAACAGACAATAATCTGAAAGTAATACTCACACTTCATCCCACTTTGGTAGTATCTCATGCTGCCATACATGGAGAGAGGATTTGATTCCGTCTTCATACTTGAGCTGCTGGGCCATCTTCTTCAGCCTCTGCTTGTACAGCTTCAGTTCTGCATGGAAGGGAGAAGAAGTGAAATTGATTTGTTAGGGCAAAGCATGGATTTCTGAAAATGAAAAGGTCATCACATCACATCAGTCAGATGCACAATCATGGTGGTGGTGGTGGTGGTAGTGATGATTATGATAATGATGTTGATTGTTAGGATGCTGATGTTGATTGTCATGATGCTAATGTTGATGATGATGATGATGATGATGATGATGATGATGGTGATGGTGATGATGATGATGATGATGATGACGATGATGATGTTGATTGTCATGATGCTAATGTTGATGATGATGATGATGATGATGATGATGATGATGATGGTGATGATGATGATGATGATGATGATGATTGTCATGATGCTGATGATGTTGATGTGATGAGGGTGGTGTGGTGGTGAAGATGATGCTGATTATGATTGTGATTATAATGGTGATGATAACAGTAATGGCAGTGACCCTTGTGGTAGTCAAGATGATGGTGGTGAAGATGATTATGATGATGCTGAAGATGATAACAGTGATGATTGAGAGGATGAGGAGAATAATGTTGATGATGATGATGATGATGATGATGATGATGATGATAATGATGGTGATTATTATGAGCCTGAGGATGATGAATATGATATGATTGGAAGGATGGTGGTGGTGGTGTTGATGGTGATGATAACAGTGATGATTAAGAGGATGAAGAGAATAATGATGATGAAGGTGATGATGATGATGATGATGATGATGATGATGATGATGATGATGGCAATGATAGTATTGGTCATGTCCCATATAATAAACACAAATTGATGGAGGAAACATAATCTGCCTTCAACAGACATGTCTTGTCTCTGTCATCACAAACTTTCCCTACATGAAAAAAAAATCAATCATTCCAGAAAAATACTCACATCTTTTTTTTGAAAAGATGCAAGGCACATGGTTTCAGACTTCACCAGGGTCTGTTATCCAAACAAAGAGTCTTCTTGTATTAAGTATATTCTTGCCTGGTGAACTACTTTGAATGAAATCAATAAAGTAACTCAGGTTACTACTTGTCTACTCCAGATTTTAAAGTGACTCGGTAACATTGCCTCAGATTCTGAAACAAAATCCTGGATTTAGCTCATGCTGCAATCATAATTATAAACCTTTAGGTCAGTCAGAAATCCCATGACTTTTACGAGCAGATCGCCTGTCTGATTTATCAAGATATTTATGATTAGAAATGAAAATTTCATTTTTCTTTTTCCTAACGTTCTTTATAACTGTACAGTCTATTTGGCTAAATGAGTATGGTAAAAACCGGTCACTCAAAGATTTTTACTTTTTGAGGCACTTCATGATCATTTTGAAGCACACTTTTTTTAGGGCTTCACTATTACACCATATCACAGACACTGCAACACGTAGGGTCTTGCATCCGAGATTTCACATTGTTAAACGATGCCTTTAAGATGATTCAACCCCCATACAGACTAAAAAAACTCATTGTAATGTATAGCAGTATAAAAATCACTTACTGTACATATAGCTATATACGCTCACGAATTAACCTTCGCCGGTGTGACCAGGCATCGTTTTAAATGAATGAATACTCAATAAAGAATCAAGATCCAATTTTAGTGTGAACATTGCTATGTAACAAACAAGGTAGAGCTTGTCGTTTATGCATGTCCCGATCCCGCTGATATACATTTGTAATGACCAGCCATCATTGTCTGAAGTTTGGTATAACTGAGAGTTGATGATTCCGATCTCCAGATCATTTTCACTATACATGAACATATATACAATGATTCAATTCACGATATTCTCCCCTTGTGTAAAAGGCCTCTTTACTGTACAATCATTCTTTACCTACACATTTCAGTACCGGTATTCAAGTTTCATACATGTATATACCATGAATTCCCTCTGGTGTGAATGCCCAATTCATCAGAACTCCCCGGGTCAGGTTCTCAAGCTGGGAAGCTGGTCTGTTACCGTTACACGATTCTCACAACATGTACCTGCAATTTAATCTATGTCTTCGGTCTATGATTTCATTGATTTGCATGTTCGTATCCCGTTACGGAAGTCTGGCCAAGACCGGGGAAACATTTAACAGCTAAGTTTCAGGTATTGAATGGAAATACGAGGGGATGTCGGAATTGTGCGTATGAGGGGAGCGAGAAGAAAATTTGTGTACCTGTAAATATACAGTGAATGATCCTCACTTGTACGGTATTATCATCCCAATTTGTTGATTGCATGCAGAGGTGATGTACATGTATAATTCAACGCAATCATTTGGCAAACAATTCAAGTTGTTCTTCGTGCGGTTCACCAGCCTATATTGTGAAATGCCCTTGGATTGAAATTTGAAAACACCACAATGACCTCTAAACTGAACAATGCCAATCAAAATTTCCATCTAGTTGGTGGTTATAAAAGAATATCAGTAGGTAATGAAATCACCCTTTTTTTATTCTTATCATTTAATCTTTGTTCTTTGATACATACATGTAGTGTGGTATATAACATTATTGATACACCCATCAGATTTATAATAAATTCCCCTTTTCTGAACAATCAAAACACATCATTTGATTTTTATTTCAAAGATTGTCCGTGGCAACCACGTACTGTACATTGAATCATTTGAAATTGAATGTACTCTCATATTGTGTATCCAGACAGGTTGTGTATTCAGACAGATAATATCAAATGGTAATTTGAACAAGTTTGCGTCCAATGTTCCATGAGTTATGTATGTTGATTGTTGACAAATATTATAAATGAAGAAAAAAAAATCATAGTAGTTGGTGCTATTTTGTGCATATTTCTCCTAAAATTCAAAGGCAAAAGAGACATGTTTTTCTTACAGTAAGTGTCCAGACACCCCCCCCCCCCCCCATCTCACTATGCAGAATATGCACAGTGTCTGACCACGGTTTGTGCCTGCAAACTAGACCCCCCTCCCCCCCCCCCAAACAAAACAAAAAATATCCTACAAGCAAAGATGTGATCAATCAACATTGAAATCGGTGCCAGGACATCTGTTTTCAAGATATTCCTAGTATTACAATTTGCTGAGAGGGAATTGCATTTGTGCAAAACAAAATGAAGAAAGAAAAAAAGGTACCGGTACATGCATCAACATTATTCTTCAGGCTATATAGTTGCCTCCTGTACACGCACATATGGCTGAATGTACAAATGAATTAAAAAGTGGATGATTAACATTACCAGCAATTCTATTTATAAACACTGATTAATTGATTCATACAAATCATGGAATTTTAGCTCTTCATAATATGTACATTGTACAGTATGTGTTCATGCCAATCATTCATACATGTACATTGTATATTTACCACATACATGTGCATGTATCATGTTCAAGAACGTTTCCTTTTTCTGTATTTCTCTATAGGAAGCAGTTAATTGCACTAATTTGACTACCAAATAGAGGCGGGCTCAATTGTGATTATATTTGTCAGATAACTGGGATGTACTGTATACAGTATACACTGCTACATGTACAATGTACATTGTACATGTACATGTACCTCTTGGTATAAATCTACAGTGTGAATCTACATGTACATGTATAGTGTTTACACATGTAGATGTATACATGTTTCACAATACATGCACACAGCACATATTGGGAATCTATTAACACAATTCTAAAATCCATTCTCAATTAACCCACCCTTTAACCACATACTTAATTACGGTTCAAATGGCTCAAACATGACGTCATTATTGGTCCAGGGGAATTTGTATGCCTAGTTCTGTAATGCCAATAGACAGGATAGCGATTATTGTGATTTCATATCCATTCCACAAGGAACTAGTTGAAAGTGTAATTCAATAACTGGAACTGTACAGTATGTGGATGTTTGTTTTCCTCTTAGATTTGGATAATAGCCAATACCGTAACCATATTATTGAAAAAGAAATTTATTACAGTGCCTTTCAAAACTGATTAAAAAGTGACATTCTCTAATACTACATTTTGCCTCTTTCTTTTCTTCACATACAAAAAATATGAAGGTCAAACGAGTAAACCAACTGTCGCTTTTCAGAATAACCCAAACTACTTCAATATTAATGCAGGCTTACATGCATGCATTATGACCATGATATTTTAAAAGGAGTGTTAATACATTAAACCTGTACCACTAATAACAAAAAACTGTGCAAATTTCCAGTTCACTGGACACAAGGCTACATGTACATGTGTACGTGTGTACCACAATTGCATGTACAGTATGTACAACTTCCAGACTTCCAGCGTCATATAGTCACATGCACAATTTAATCTGAGTGTAATATCTTATTGTGCTAAGTAGCTTGGCAGATTCTTACCAAGCTGCTAGCTGTCATATATTACATGATCTCTGAATATCCCCTCTCAAAGACATCGCACAGCATATTTTACATCTGCCAAATGTATACATTTCCAAAATGTACACTTTTGATACTTGTTGTGGGTTAGGGGGGAGGTATGGTATTCAGGTTTTTGAAAGAATGCTTTTTCTGAAATATTACATTTCAGTCTGAAACACAAACATCTGCCAAATCTATACATTTAAAAATGTACACTTTTGATGTATGTTGTTGATAAGGAGAGAGGGGGGGGGGGGGGGGGGGGGAGGGGGGAGGGGGGAGGGTGGGGGTGTACATTGTACATATCTAATATTACAGATTTCTAAAGAATGTATACCACAATGATGTTAATGGTGCCTGTTTCCTGTTCCCCCACCACCAGCTGTTTCTCAATGCACCTTTGACTCTTTGTGGCTAGTATCATTTCTATGAATCTCGATCCCCTCTCTATATGATAATGAGCCTGAATATTAAAGATATTGCATATTTCTGACATATAACTCATGGATTCTCAGGGGGACTTTGACACCCTTCAGCTATTGAGTCCCAAAGCGCTAGTATTACCTCATATTCGCTCGTCGTCCAGGTTACGGGTTCTAATAGCAACAGAGCCTGCGCATAAGGTTCA